ACGGAAGGGTTGTCTCCTGGGTAAGGGGCCCTGGCTCTGAGGGCCAGTCCCTCCTGTGTCACCAAGCTCCTCCACGCCTTAGTCCGGCCTTGTAGCCGCACCCTGATTAGTTGTTGGAGATCCTGGCTCTTTGCTTCCCTGTCTGTTTGGAGCGCTAGTTGAAGTCTCATCCCTCTCTTTCTGGGGCCTCTAATGCTTACTCCTGCTTTTTCATGCTTTCCTCCAGGCTCTGCCAGACCCTGTCCCCTTTTCTAGTCCTTTCCCGTACTCCCATCTCATATGCCTCCCATCCCAGTAGATCCTTTTTTTATTTTTTTTGTCACTTGCATCCTAGCTTGTGTCTTCTGATAATCCTCAACCCGAGATAGCTCCCCCACCCCAGGAGCCTCCAACCCCACCGTTACCCCCTTTGCCCCCGGAGAGGACCAGTGGCATTGGGGACTCCAGACCTCCGTCCTTCCAGTGAGTCCTGGGGATCCTTGAGGGGAGAGGAGAAGGGAATCGAAGCCTCTTGGGAGGGGAAGCTAAGGGTTTGGAGCTCTGTCCTGCTGACTCGGTTGGCACCGTCTCTGCCCCTCCAGCCCCAATGTGTCCAGCAGCCGGGAGAACCTGGAGCCTGAGACCGAAACCGAGTCGGTGGTGTCTCTGAGGCGGGAGCGGCCTCGCAGGAGAGACAGCAGTGAGCATGGCGGTGAGGGGTCGGCTCTGAGGCTGGGGAGACGGGAGCTGGGAAGGGGCTGGGTCAGCCCCGAGCCTGGAGGAGGGTGAGGAGCAGCAGCCTTGATTCCTGACGTTGCTCTTTGTACTCAGCTGGGGGCCACAGGCCCAGCGGCCCATCGAGGCTGGAGCGCCACCTGGCCGGGTACGAGAGCTCCTCCACCCTCATGACCAGCGAGCTGGAGAGCACCAGCCTGGGGGACTCGGACGAGGATGACACCACGAGTAGGTATGGCTCCACAGACCCCCAGGGCACCAGCCCCTCCCTTCCCTCCTTGCCCGGTCCTCTCCCTTCCTCGGCCTGCAGTGCTCCCTCCTCTCCTCCCGGCAGGTTCAGCAGCTCCACAGAGCAGAGCAGCGCCTCTCGCCTCCTCAAGCGCCACCGACGGCGGAGGAAGCAGCGGCCGCCTCGCCTGGAGAGGGTGAGGTCATGGGTGATGGATCTTGGGGAACTTGGGGACCTGGGCCTTGCTCAGTGGGTATGAGGGCCCAGACGCAGACTTGTCCCTGGGCTGCTGAAGGCAGTCTAGCTAGCTCCTTCCTTTTTCCCTCCGCAGACCTCCTCCTTCAGCAGCGTCACCGACTCCACCATGTCTCTCAACATCATCACAGTCACACTCAACATGGGTATGAGGAGCCGGGGACGGGGTTTGGGGACTTGGTCTCCAGGGCGCGGGGTCACATGGCTTGGGCTTCCCTTCATCACATGGACTCCTTCCGCAGAGAAGTACAACTTCCTGGGCATCTCCATTGTGGGCCAAAGCAATGAGCGGGGCGACGGGGGCATCTACATCGGCTCCATCATGAAGGGGGGGGCCGTGGCCGCGGACGGGCGCATCGAGCCAGGGGACATGCTTCTGCAGGTGTGCGGGGGGCAGGGCCCTCGGGAGGGGCGCGGCCTCTCCCCCCTGTCTCTGACCACTGCCCCGCCCTGCCAGGTGAATGACATGAACTTTGAGAACATGAGCAACGACGACGCGGTACGAGTGCTGAGGGACATTGTGCACAAGCCAGGGTGAGCTCCGAGCTGGCCTCCGTCCTCAGTCCTCTTGTCCTTGCCTTTTCTCCCTTTTGTTTCATGTTTTAAAAGCAGCAGAACAACATTTATGTAAAAGGTGTACAAAACAAAAGATGTGTAATGTCATGAGTCATTCTGGCGTGAATGAGTGCCCCTGTCACCGCTGCCTCGATCGTGAAGTGGAAGATGGCTGATGCCCCAAGTCTCCCCCAGTGTCCCTCCGGCTCCCGCCCCCCTCATGGCCCCTGGGGGTAGTCATGAAATCTTCGGTTCGCCTGATAGTTTTACCAGCCCTGCATGTGTCCTGAACAACATGCGTTAGTTATACCTACTTGGGGGCTTTCTCTGAATGGAAGTGTACAGTGTGTACTCGCGTGTCTGACTCAGTGTGTTTCTAAGAGTTATCCAAGTTGGTGAGTCACCCTCATAGTGGATGGAGCCTTCCACCTTCATCTTCTCGGGCCCAGCTTTGTCTTTTCTTCTCTCCCTCTTCCGGTCCCTCAACCCATTCTCATTCCCGGCCTCCGTTCTCCGCGGCCTCTCTCCACACCGTCTTGACTGGCCTTCTCTCCCTACAGCCCCATCGTGCTGACTGTGGCCAAGTGCTGGGATCCCTCTCCCCAGGCCTATTTCACTCTCCCCCGAAGTGAGTGGCGCTCAGGAGGGCTGCAGCCGCGAGCTGGGAGAGCAGGGCTGGGCCACGGCTCCTGGGGGGGGTGGAGGAAGGACAAATCAGAGTCAGGGAAGGACGGGGTGGCGTTCCGGGAAGTGGTCATCTTGGTGTTCTCTGTCCTAGATGAGCCCATCCAGCCCATTGACCCCGCCGCCTGGGTCTCACACTCGGCTGCACTGACCGGCACCTTCCCAGCCTATCCGGGCTCCTCGTCCATGAGCACCATCACGTCTGGGTCCTCTCTGCCTGATGGTGAGCCCCTAGGCCCGCCTCATCCCCCTTCCCAGAAGGCTGCAGGGTTGTGACCCCCCTCGCTCCTTGAGAGTGGGCTCTGCCTGATTCCCCCTCCTCTGGCAGGCTGTGAGGGCCGAGGTCTCTCCATCCACACGGACATGGCCTCTGTGACCAAAGCCATGGCATCTCCAGAGTCTGGACTGGAAGTTCGGGATCGCATGTGGCTCAAGATCACCATCCCTAATGCCTTTCTGGGTATGGCTGGGGCCTTGGCAGGTGGCATGGGCAGGGGAGGAGGAGGAGGAGGAGGAGGAGGAGGAGGTCTAAGCTGGGAATGACTCAGGCCGGGAGTGAAACAGTCTGCGGCCTCTCTCTTCCGGTGATCCAGGTTCGGATGTGGTCGACTGGCTCTACCATCACGTGGAGGGCTTTCCGGAGCGGCGGGAGGCCCGGAAGTACGCCAGCGGGCTGCTCAAGGCCGGCCTCATCCGGCACACCGTCAACAAGATCACCTTCTCTGAGCAGTGCTATTACGTCTTCGGAGACCTCAGTGGCGGCTGTGAGGGCTGTGAGTGCCTCTGTCTATCCCCAGACTTCGCCCAGAAACCAGCTAGGGTCCCTGCGCACCGATGAGCAGCATGTGTTGCCCAGGCCCTGCGCTGGCCGATGACAGGCCGGGGCTGATGCCACCGGAGTTCTGGGGACCAGCTGTGCCCAGCACAGGGCTCTGTCTGCTGGGCACGGCCCTTCCCCGAGTCCCATAAGAGCATATGGCCCTGGCTGACTCCCGCCCTGATGGCATGGCAGGTGGGGAATTCCTTTAGAGGCCCTTGTTTGAGCCCCCGCCATGGATAGTTCTGGGGAAAGGGTTCACAGTTCCTCTTCATTCAGCGTCTTGGCGTCCTGGCCCCTGAAGCAGTGACTCAGTCTCTTCTCTTTCTAGACCTGGTCAACCTGTCTCTGAACGACAACGACGGCTCCAGCGGGGCTTCGGACCAGGACACCTTGGCTCCTCTGCCTGGGGCCACCCCATGGCCCCTGCTGCACACCTTCCCCTACCAGTACCCAGCCCCGCACCCATACAGCCCCCAGCCCCCTCCCTACCACGAGCTCTCATCCTACACTTATGGCGGAGGCAGTGCCAGCAGCCAGCACAGTGAAGGTAAGGAACTGCCAGGCGCCAGTGCAGTTGGGGGGAGGGAAAGGGGGCAGGGGGACACGGGGAGGAGAGGGCTCGGGAGGCTGAGGGGCCTTGGGCCTGGGCTCAGTTGCCCCCCTTCCCTCTCCCCCACAGGGAGCCGGAGCAGTGGGTCCACACGAAGCGATGGGGGTGCAGGGCGCACAGGGAGGCCTGAGGAGCGGGCCCCCGAGTCCAAGTCTGGCAGCGGCAGTGAGTCCGAGCCCTCCAGCCGGGGGGGCAGCCTTCGGCGGGGTGGGGAGCCTGGTGGGACCGGTGATGGAGGCCCTCCCCCTTCCAGGAGCTCATCAGGCGCTCCCAACCTCCGAACCCACCCAGGGCTTCATCCCTACGGACCACCCCCCGGTATGGCCCTTCCCTATAATCCCATGATGGTGGTCATGATGCCCCCCCCTCCCCCGCCTGTCCCTCCAGTGCAGCCCCCGGGGGCCCCTCCAGTCAGAGACCTAGGCTCAGTGCCCCCGGAGCTGACAGCCAGCCGCCAAAGCTTCCACATGGCCATGGGCAACCCCAGTGAGTTCTTTGTGGACGTCATGTAGAGCCAGCAGTGCGCCATGTTGGAGCGCCACCCCTGGCCCATCCGGTCAGTGCCTGGTGCTCCTGTCCTGACTGGGTGTCTTGTCAGGATTGGGTGCTCATTCCTCCTCTGTGGTGCCTGGGTGCCTGGGCTCAGCCTGTCCCGTGGCTGCTGCCCACCGTGAGGTTACCACTGTGCCTCTACCAGCAGTGCCTGGTCCCCCCCCTCCCTCAGGGCGACAGGGACCGTTGGTTATTTTTAGTATTGTTTTTTGTAAGCTTTTTGGGGGGTTAAAATAGGTTTTTCTACATATTTTAGACTATTTTTTAGTAGGTATTTTCTCTTTTATATGAAGAACCCCTATCTCCCGGGCCTTGTTTTAACCCCAAAAGGTGACCTCATCCACCCAGTCAGCTCTGTCCTGCTCCTGTGGGATGAAGGGGGGGGGACTGGTCACCCCTGACAGCAGTCAAAGAAAGCTGGGGTATTTAGTATTTGGGGGCCGATGTAGCTGCATTTGTTGTTATATTTATTTTAGTCACTTGTATAAAACACTAAATAAAGCAATAGGGGCAAACTCCCTACGCCTTTGGCTCCTTTCTTTGGGAGGGAGGCAGGCAGCGAGGAAAAGGGCTCAGACACGGTGGCACGGCATGACTTGTCAGCTTTATTTGTAAGGCAGGGAGTGCTCCCTGTGAGAGCAGGCACAGTCCTGGAGTAAGGCCCCTTCCAGGGAGAGCCAGGCCCACAGAGGGGCCCAGGCTTTGGCGTAAGGCACATTGCCGGCCCTGGCTGGGAGTGTTCAGAAGCCGAGGGGGTTGTTGGTGACCACGCCACCCTGCTCCACCAAGGCCTTGGAGATGCCTTTGAAGTTGCGGAAGAGCTCCTGCTGCTGGGGATCGGAGTGCAGAGCAGCCATGCTCCTCTGGACCCGGCCTGCAGCCTGGGGACGGGGAACAGGGGGTTCGAGGCTGTGCCGTGGGCCCCCCACCTGCTCTTGGCAACCCCGACTCTCACCTCAATGCACCAGCTGTCGCAGAGCATTTTCTCATGCTGGGCTGTGGCGTGGCCCTCACTCAGGGATCTTGATGCCCTGGTGGGAAGCGGGAGACAAAAATTCAGGGCTGTGACTCTGGCCCAGGACCCCCTTGCAGCTCAGGCCTCCCACACTGCCTGCTCACCTGGAGAGAACCACCACCATGGCATAGAGGTCAATGGCACTGTCTGCCAGGCGCTGCAGCACAAACTGTTCATCTGTCAGGTAGATGGGATGGGGGGAGGGGTGTCAGTCGGAAGGAGAGGAAAAGGGAGGGGTGGGAGTGGGGAAGGTCTCACTCACTGACAATATCCTTCTTGTGTTTTATCAGCTTGGCCTCCACCACGGTAGCAAACTGCTCCAGGGCTTGCGTTGCCTGAAGATATGAGGAAAGGGCCCAGGGCTCAGAGGAGACACAGCCTCATCAGCTCTGGAGGCAGGCTGTCTCCCACCCACTCAAGCTTGGACTCCTTACCAGTTCACCGCTCCGATTCAAATCCGGATGGACCACACCACTGAGACTCAGGCCACTGCCCAGCCCTGCCCGCCTTAGAGGAGAGGGGAAAGTGATTGGTTAGTTGTGATTGGTTAGCTGCCATACACTAACCTGCCCTACCCTGGTCCCTAAGCTTACCGCCTCAGCTGTTTGCCTGCCTCTCCTAGCAGCAGGCCAGCATTCCCTAAAGGATTCTTCAAAGCTTTGCCAAGCCCAGAGAGTTCCTTCCCTTTGTCCTGTGGGCAGGAGGGTACAACAGTCAGGATTCCATCCTCCCCACCTCCTCCCCTCACTTCTCCTCCTCCTTACCATGCAGCCCTGCAGAGCCACAAACAGCCGAAGAATGTCATTCGTCCCCTCGAAGATCCGGAAGATGCGAAGATCCCGGAGCACACGCTCCACTCCGGGCTCCTAGCACCGGGGAAGACAGACCACGTGCCTGTGAGGGAGCTGTGCTGCCTGCTCCTCCCAGCCCAGCTGCGGCTCCCAGGGCAGAGACCATCCGTACCTTCATGAAGCCCATGCCCCCCATGATTTGGATGCACTCATCTGTCACCTGCCAGGCTGCCTCCTAGGGACAAAGAACCAGATACGGTTGCTTTTGGGGCTGAGCTCCCGACTGGGCTCTCCCTCCCCACAGGCCTGAAACCTCACCGAGCCAAAGATTTTGCTGATGGCGGCCTCGATCTGGAAGTCCTTGGACCCCTGGTCCATGTTGGCACTCACCATGTAAGCCATGGACTGAGGTGGTGTGGTTGGAACATGAGAACAAAAAAAGGCTGCGTTAGATTTGACCTAATCACCCAAATCTCCAAGACCAAATCTACCCCAGCTCCCTGCAGCCCTTGCCTTCACCTTCTAACGCCACATGTCAGGCATGTTGAAATATTTGGTTCCCTGAGTCAGTTCATCAGGGGATTCTAGGAATCTGACTTGTTGAAAGGGGTGAGAGGTAAGTGTGGACGTGGGGGTAGAATAAACTTCAGGTCCCTCTGGAAAGCACCTCAGCAGAACAGCATGCCTCTCCCCCTTCTGCAGCAGCTGAGCTGACTATGCCTCCCCGCATCCCCTAGGGCATTGGTGTAAAGCTGGAGACCCACTGCCCCAGGTGCTGCTGGGGGTTGTAGTCTGACCCGACTGAGCAGAAGGCCACAGGCAAGGAACATGGAGGACTCTCACCTCTGTCACATACTGCAGCATAGCCATCCGGGCCAGCTTTTCCTGGATCAGCCCGAAGTTGTGAATTTTCTCCCCAAACTGGGTACGATTAGCAGCATGATCCACCTGGAAGAGAGCACCGTGTCCCACTGTGGTTCTGCAGTCTTCTCAGGAGAGGGGCTGGGCTGGACTTTGGCCACAGCCAGGAAGAGCTCAGTCTAGGCTCAATGGGGACCTAAGTGATCAGGTCTGGAGCTGCTAGTGGGGAGGGGTCTCTGAAAGGGGGAACAGGGACATATTGGAAGGGGGACAATGTAACTTAGATTTGGGCACTCACCGCCTTAGCAATGATGCCCTTCATGGTGCCTGCGAGAGCCGCAGCCATGCCAAACCTCCCGTTGTTGAGAATGTGCATGGCGACCTTGAAGCCACCTCCCACTTCGCCCAGCACATTCTCAGATGGCACTCGGACTCCATCAAAGTACACCTCCGCCGTGTTCGAAGCCTTGATGCCCATTTTCTTCTCGGGGGGCCCACTGTGATGGGGCAGAGCAGAGGAGTGTTCAACAAGCTGTAGGGAAAACTACCCCTTCCCTTCGTTCTTACCAACCAGGGAGGAACTATAACTCAGCCTGCACACAACGTGCTCAGAGCGCAGAGGGTCTGGCCCTGTCCTGCCCAGTGCTGGGCTCACTGGTTGCTGGAGCTAAAGCTTTAGATCCGTTTCATAGGTTTTAGTCCCAAAGGAACTCTCCAGCTGTGTTGGCTTTTGCACACATTCCCAGATGCCCTGTAGCAGCCATTTGCCCCAGAGCTCAGTACTGACCTCCCTGGCTCAACCTTCTTCCTCCCCAAACCCACTCACTGGGTGACGCCTCCAAAGCTCCTCTCCACCACGAAAGCTGTGATCTTGTCCTTCACGGCTCCTGTGGCTGCATCTGTAACTGGTGTCTTGGCAAAGACGGTGAAGATTTCTGCCAAGCCCCCATTACTGTGGAGAGAGGGCAGTCAGGGCATGGAGGACAGAGCAGTGTGGCCTGGATTGGGCAGAGGAGGGGAGAAATGGGAGGAAGATTGCCTGATCCAGATCTTGCTTCCGTTGAGGGTAAAATACTTTCCACAGGGACTGGGCACAGCCGAGGTTCGGATAGAGGCCGCATCTGAGCCACTTGAGGGCTCAGTGAGACAGAATGCTGCGATGGTCTCTCCTGTTGGGCAGAAAGCTCCTTTACGCTATGCCCATCACTGGGTCTGAGGGGCACTGAAGGTCCCTCAGTGCTCCCCCAAGTTACCCCTTAACACCTCGGGGTATTTAGTTTCTTCCCATTTCCCTACCAGCACCCTGTCATGCTTTCCCCAAATCTCATCAGCCAACATGCCAAACTGACGGCCTAAGAAGCACCGGCCTAATTTGTGTTGCGCCCAGGCCACCCCTAACTCCGGGGCTACAAGGCCTGCCTTACCTGATGCCAGTTTGGGGAGGTATTTTTCTTTCTGGGCCTTCGTGCCAAAGAGCAGGATGCCTTTGAAACCAATGCTCTGATGGGCCCCCAGGGTGATGCCCACACCAAGGTCGTGCATGCCCACGATCTCCACCAGTCTGGCGTACTGAAGGGGAAGCAGGCACCTAGGGCTGTAACTGGTGAGCAATAGGCAGAGCCCGACCTGGGCACTCCCAGGAGAAAGGAAGTGGGACCATGGCAGAGAAGGACACTGGCTGGTGGGTGTCCAGCCCAGGTCGTGATGGCTTCCTACCCCGTCGGGTAGTCTCCACTTACAGGAGATTCATTAGGGTTTGGGAACCTGGGTGGGGTCCTTGGCCCTCGGGGACGGTGCAGTTCAGTGGTGTGTCTGGAGGGGTTGTGTACTTGAGAGTCCATATCCTGAAGATCCCCCGGGGCAGGGGCTTGGCAGAGACTTTGGCCCGGGAGGGGAGGAGCTGAGCCTGCCAAGATGAGACCACAGACCTGGATGCTGGGAAGGAGCTGAGGCGCTCACCTGGGTGTTGCAGAGGCCCACGCCACCCAGTTCACTGGGCACTTGCAGGCCAAAGGCGCCCAGCTCCTTGAGGCCCTGAATAGTGGCGTCCTCCACCATCTCCAGCGTGTCATTCTTGGCAGGATCGTTCACCTCCTGGGAAGGCACAGGATCCCATATGCAGGCTCCTTTAAAGGTCCTAACACCTCTCACCCCATTGGGACCGAGCCCTCTATTCCCCGGGCCCAGGTGTTTTACCTCAAAGAAGCGGGACACAGGCCCCACCAGCTCTTTGAGAAACTGTGTCTGCTCCTCGTTGAGCACTGCGGGGACAGCAGAGACAGGTCAGGCCAGTGATCAGGGCACCTGCCCCGCCCTCCCCAGCTCTGGCTTCCCCTGCCCTTACCGGACGGGTAGGGGAACACCTGGTCTGTGGTGAGCTGGCCCTTGAACATCCCCACAGCGAAGGACTTAGATTCCTGCAACAGGAGAAGGAGGCTTCAGGGAGCTGGCTGCCTTCAGGAACTAGCTGCTGGGGTGGGCCCCGCCCCTGGCAGCTTAGATCCTCCCGGTCGGTCGGGGCCACCTACCGCCTTGGCAGGTTTTGCCCCGGTGGAAGCCTCAGAGGAGAGCGAATCTGACTTGTCCAGAACCGCCTGGGGAAAAGAATAGTTAACGCGGCTGGGGAAGGGTCTGCCGAAATGCCAAGGAGAGCAGAGGGGCAGAGCGAGGTGCCAGGACGGGGAGACCTTTCACCCAGTTTCATGCCCAGGGCACCCTGGCCTGCCCTTTCCCCCACTTCCGTCGCCAGGGCGGTCAGCAGGTCACCGCACCGAGAGGGGGACCCCTGTCGGCGGCGGCAGGAGGTGGGCGCCAGGCGGTCGCCCACCTTAAGGCCACCGTCACTTTCTTACCTGAGCGGCCCCACTGGCATAGTGTCGTTGGGCTGGGCCGGGCCGGGGGTGCCCCAGGATGGCACAGGGCCGTGAGCTGTGGGGAGCGGAGGGTCAGTGCTGGCCCGGGCCCGGGCCCACCGCCCCCACCCCTCCCGGATACACACACCTTCCGCCCCCCAACCTCAGCAGCTGCCGCCCCACGCTCGGGGCCCGCCTCGCCGCCTGCATCTCTGAACCGCCTTAGCCGCTGCCGTCCGGAGCGCTGACCTCGCGCTCTGGTTCTGTAGGCGAAAGCTTGGGTCCTACAACCCCTGACTCATTCTCCACAATGCACCGGGAAGTGGGCGGGGCTTCCGGGCGCCGGGGCATGCTGGGAGTTGTAGTTTCGGAGTCCCCCCTCCCGCATTCTGGTTGACCTAGGGTGATCTCCAAACGTCCCTTCTCTCCCCAAACTCCTCCATCCCACCTGTCCGAACTGGATCGGATAGGCCGGGACTGAAGAGGGAGGGGCTTAGGCAACTGCAGCCGGAGGGATGGAGGGTGGCCTGAAAGGAGCATTACCAGGCGGAGTTAGAAAGAAGCGGTGGGAAGATTGAAGTGTAAGACAGGTGCTGAGGCAGAGGCATGGAAGGATGACTCTTTGGCATCCCCGGTGAAATTTACAAAAGGGAGGAAAGTGGGGGGGTGGGAAACACAAGCTGGGGTGTGAGTGTCCCAAGCATATTCGCCCGAGACCTAGGAGGTTCCCTAATTTCGGAAACACCAACATTTTCACAGTATGAAGGAGCTCCCCTTTCCTCCTGGGTCCACTGCCTCCCCCTTAGGCCTCTGAGACCTTCCTCAACATCTACCGCTCTCCACCCGCCTTCTGTTTCTTCCTCCCGAGACATGCGCTCAGGAACTGCAGGGCTTCTCATGTCTCTTCCCTCTCCCACACTTCTCCAGCTCTGGGTCAAGGAGCCCCAGGTAGCCCTGGCCAGTGTAGCTCAGGTGGCTGGACCAAAGGGTAGTGAGTTTGATTCCCAGTCAGGGTGTGGGAGGAGGCCCATCGATGTTTCTCTCTCTCCCTTCCTCTCTCTAAAAATTAATTTAAAAAAAGTTCCACAGCCGGACCGGTTTGGCTCAATGGATAGAGTGTCAGCTTGGGGATGGAAAGGTCCCGGGTTCGATTCTGGTCAAGGGCATGTACCTTGGTTGCGGGCATATCCCCAGTAGGGGGTGTGCAAGAGGCAGCTGATGGATGACTCTCTCATTGATGTTTCTAACTATCTCCCTTCCTCTCTGTACAAAATCAATAAAATATATTTATAAAAATAAATAAATAAATAAATAAAAAAGTCCCACATAATTTATCTCTCTCTTTTTTTTTTTTTTTTTTTTTTTTTTTTTGCCATTCCCACTGGGGACAGTCCCAGGAGGAGTGACAGCTGGGCTCAACTCCCTTTATTTTTGAGCTATGGAGCCTCGGTCGGGGGCAGCTCTCTTCCTCGGTCCCTGAGGAAAGTACAGCTAAGCTGTGACTGGCTTTGGGGAGAAGGGGCCAGGGTGCGTGGAGCAGGGTGATGGTGGTGGTGCCCGGAGACCTGGAGAAGGAATGGGATATCTGTTGGTTCGGAGAGCGCCTGCTCTAGCTAACAGCTGGACTTGGGGAGGGAGAACACAGCTCAGCCTCAATCCTGGAGGATTAGGGAGATTAAAGTAAGAGAAGAGAGAGATGTCCGAAAGACCAAGAGGTGAAAAACAGGAGTCCTTGTGGAGGAGAGACCTGCGGGTGGAAGGGGGCTGAGACTTTGGGGATCCCTCTCCCTGAACTTTCCACAGAGTCCGGGGTGAAAGGGCAAAGGCTGGGAAGATGGCGTGAGTGAGTACATTGGTCTCTGTCTCCTCTCCCAATCCCCCCTCACCTGCATTTCACCAGCTCCCAGGTCAGCCCTCTGGCTCCTGGCACCCCCTCTACTGCGATGGGCACCCCCTCTCCTCAGGGTGCTGCACAGTGACCTTTTCCAGGCCTTGCTGGGTGAGTAGTCCCCCGATTTTCTAAGGAGCAGTAGTGGGAAGGGCTGGCCTAGGCCTGTGAGGGCAGTTACTGAACTTGGGGGCTGGTTGGGAGCCTGGAGATCATGTGGTCCAAGCAGGAGCCTCATGCAGGGGTCACCCCTTCTCAGTGTCCACCAGACAGTGGAGGCGGGTGGAGGTCGGGGTGGCCAGGGATGAGGGTGGGGAGAGTGACTGAGTGCTGTTCTGTGACAGACATCCTGGACTACTATGAGGCCTCCATCTCAGAGAGCCAGGTAGGTAGGACGAGGCCTGACTTCCCCAGGGAGAGGGCAAGGCTGCTGATACTGGACTGACACATGGGGTGCTGGGGACCAAATCCTGAGTCAGGGGCACCGAGAATGCCTCTTCGTCCCCCAGCCCCTTCTCCAGCTTGCTTTCCCCTTTTCGTCGCCTGCCTCAATGTTAGGCACTACAGAGTTTAGGATATAATTATTTGTAAGGCTTCCTCTTGAGAATCCTGAGGGAGAACTAGGACCCTGGGATTCCCTCCTGCCCATCTCTCCCTTACCCCTATCCCCTGCCATGGCCTCTCTCCAGTATTTAAGCAACCAGGGTGCTCCCTGCCCAGTTACGGTGCTCCCTCCTCTAAGAGATGAAATCTGTCCCCAGCGTGCCTGCTGGCATCGCTGGTGGCTGGCCAGCTCTCCATGTTTGCTTCAGGGCCTCTCTGCTTTTGCTTCCGGCTCCTTTTCCATTATCCGGGTTCCTTCCAGCACCGAAGGAGTTAACTCTGCCAAGGCACCCCCCCATTCTGGCTCCCAGCTCCCTCCCTCCCTCCCCCTGCTTCCTCTCTCCTCCTCTCTCCCCTTCCCTCCTCTGGCTCCACTGCTCCCGCGGCCGGCAGCGGCCACCTCCAGCCCCCCAACCCCACTCCTCCCGCCAAGGCCGCTAGCCCCCGGCCAGCTGGCAAGACACCGCCGGGGCTCCCCGAAATCCGGTTCCCCTCCCCCACCTCAGCTCATGCCCCAGCCCCCGAACTCCGGGGCTGCCAGCCCCCGGCGCCCCCGCCCCTCCTGAGAACCGGGGTGCTCCCCAAGCCCCCCCCTCCACTGGGGACTCCCTTTTAGGACCCCCTTTCCCTCCCTCCCACGCTCCCCTCCCCTTCCCTTCTCCAACCCCCTCTTTCCCCTCTCACCCCTCCCCCCATCCTGGCCACCCCTGCAAAAGTGGGGTGCGGAGGGGGGAGGGGTGAGAACCCACGGAGGAGAGGAACGAAACTCCGATGAAGTCAGAGCCCCCTACCCGCCGAGGCGGCCAGGCCCCCCAACATGGACTGTCTCTGTATAGTGACAACCAAGGTAAGCGATGATGGGGGGCTCTAAACTGGGGGAGGGTATGCGTTTGTGGGGAGGGGTCAGGCAGGCCTAATCTGGGGCTGGGGGTCCTGGAGTTAGAGCATCGGAAGATGTATTTGGGGTCCTAATATAGTTTTGGGGTTCACATTTGAGAAAACGCTGGGTTTGGCCACAGGTGCCCCCTGGAGTCATCCCTTTGTACCTGTGGAGAAATGGAAAATTTGGGGTACACTGATGTGGGGGTCTGGTAGGTTTGGGGGTTCATCAACCATGTTTGAGAGACTTATTTAAGGAGAAGCCTGGCTCACATGGGAGTCCTCTCCTGTGTGGTAGAAGGTGGACTAAGTGGGGGGATTCTCTTTCCTCCTGGGGGACAGCTGGCCTCGGGGTGCCCTGCCTGGTTGAGGGGGCTTTTGGCACGGAGAGGTTTTTGGTCGTGAATGCCTGACTGGTCTGGGGGTGTCAGCTGGTGGGAAGGGGTGGGCCTTCAGGCTATAGACACCACGTCTTCTGGTAGATACATTTGGGGGTGCTCTCTTCCTTAGAGGGAACTGTTAATTTAGGGTTCGGTCGTGATCTTGTGGGATGGGGGCGTTGGGAGTTGTCCGAGGACTGGGGTTGACAAGGATCACTGAGGGAATGGACCAGGAAAGCTTAGGATCTGGGGTACTCCCCTGGGAGACACAGGTTACAGCAGCTAAGGCTGCGGGCTCCTGAGGAGGAGGAGGAGGAGGAGGAAGAGGAACAGGAGGAGAGGTTTTGGAAGAAAGGGGATTTGAGGAGGGGGACCAGATGGGTGGTGCAGAATTCTGGGGTGGGCCAGGTAGGTGCCCAATGTCTCCCTCTCCTCCCACACTGCATCTACTCCTGGCTGAGTAAAAGGGAGATTCGATGGAGGGGAACGTTTCTGTAGCCTCTGACACTTGGGCTCAAGGTGGGGAAATAGCTGTATTTAAGGTGACCGGGTGGAAAGGAGTAGGAGGAGGGCAGGGCTGGCACAGTGAGATCTGTACCCAGGTGTCCCTGTGGTTGGAGTGTGGGAAGGGCAGGAGATCTCAGATGGGAACACAAGCAGCGCCTGGTGGATACAGAGTACCTAGGGCTTGGCTGTGAGACTCAGGGAGTGGAAAGCTGGGGGCCTGGTGTGTGGAGGGAGGCATGGGCTGGTGGCAGGCAGTGGGGGGTGGGACAGGAAGTGGGGGCCGGGAAGGCGGGGTCCGGTGAGTCACAAGCTGGGGAGGGGGTTATATTTAGTGGGAGCTGCAGCTTTTCAGGGGAGGGAGCTGAGGACACACATGTTCCCTGTCACAAACTCACACATGGATGGAGGAGATGGGGGCTGAGGGCCTTTATGTCTGGAGCCCCCACCTCCTCTCCAAGGCTACTTGCTGGTCCCTCTCACAGAGAGCTTTCTCCCACGGCTGCTTCTTTGCACCCCTCTCCCATCCCCTGTAGTTTCAATAGATTTTGGGGGCCTCCGTTTCTCCGGCCTGCTCTCGTCCAATGTCCTCTGGCGCTCAGCTCCTCCTGTCTCCTGCCCTAGCCTGCTGCTTAGACCTAGGCTGCCAGGCTGTGGTTCCGTGGACAGGTGTACAGAGAAAGCCAGTTGGAATGTGTGGGCTTTGCTTCCAACACGTGTACACATGTGTGAGCGAGGGTGAGGGGCTTGCTGGCACTGGCAGCTATAGAGGGGGCGCTTCTCCATCTTCCTTCAGACTCCCACTTCTCCCATGGAGCCCAGGGCTGAACACCCCTGAAGAAAGGAGCCTTGTGCAGAGAGGATGATGCATTTGGGGTTTTACAGAGGCGTGGAGACTCAGGCTTGCCACATTCCTTGGCCTGAAAACTTGTCAGTTGCGGGATGGCGGGGACTCCAACTCCCATAAGGCCTTGAGGCACAAGATCCCTCAGTGTTAGAGGATTGCTGCCATGGGGCTGTTGGGAGTTGTGGTTCATCTCTATCCAGGGCAG